AGAACCCACATGACCTATAAAAAATGCAGTATTCATATTCCCAAGGATCTGAGGTCTGCAGTAAGCTCCTTAGTGTGTCAATTCTTTATTTCTTGAAAGCCGGTTTTGGAAATTCAAAGTGCTCTAACCCCCAGGGACGCAAGTATGCGCAGAATTTTATTGCACTAAAATCAAGTTTAGAGTTAGTACTAACTACTACTGTAGGTCTGTACGCGTGCGAACCGGCGCAAGACATTCATCTAGAGCCATTTTTGTAAAAATTTGCTTGGAATTAGTAGAAAATAACGCTTTGTCTAACGGCTTGTCTAGATGTATAGACACGTTTTTGAAAGATAGTAAGAACGTATAAACCTTTAACATGCCTTATATTTTTGATAAACCATAACAGAACACTTCACATTTGCATCTATTTCTGTGTGATGAACTTCAAATCATAGGACCTGACAGTAAACACTGAAAACTGGTGCGAGTCCGCCCAAAAGTACCTCGCGGCCTCACCTTCAGGTGCTTATCATTTCCTTATTAGTGATCCAATCTTCATGATATTTGGCCAAGTTACTCTCGAGAGTATGCACTATCAATCTGTGGGAGCGAGGCAATCGAAGAAGTCGAACAAAATTTGGGAACTTTAAAAGCTTATGACTTCGTTTATACAAAACTTTGAGGTTTTAAAAGTGGTTTTATTGGTTTTCTCGTGAAATTTTCTCCTAGATGTACCCCTTAAAAATTTCTCATGTGACGGAATTAACATCAAAATTTGCGGTCTAAGTCAAAAATTTCATGTGCGACCCTTCTGATTGACTCGATCCACTGTGCGGCCGGCCCCAAACGGTCATCAAAGCGGGTAGTCGGGCTCGGGCACCGAGGGGACGCAGCGCGAGGATCCGCGCCGGGCGCCGCTTGTTATGTGTTCTGTGCTTGCGTGCATCGCTCGAACGCCCTCTTCTGCATGTTTGTGGGTAAACGGTTATAAATACGCCAGAACGGATGACATGTTTGATCTTGGTACTGTACTTCGTTAAAATCTAAGAGGATTGACTATCCACACTCAATTTTATATCATTACTGTAGATAGGCCATTCTGGAGGGCGCTTCCGACCATGTATCGGGTGAAAACAGGTATAATACAAAAACAGGTTTAATATAATATATTAAAAAGGGCCTTAGAGGCCTATCTGCGATGCTGGAGTCAATATTATGCGGCGAAATTGTTGGTACTTCATATGGCGCCCGTTTGACAACTTTTTTTAGATGATACGCGTTTCCCTTCCCAAAGTCGAAAATTCGTAAAAAAAAAAAAAAAAAAAAAAAAAAAAAAAAAAAAAAAAAAAAAAAAAAAAAAAAAAATATTCGAAAAAAAAATCGTTCAGGTGATGTTAAACAACGCCCGGCCCTATGATACTATGCTACAGAACTCGCTTGCTTTTGCTCGCGATGCTTTTAGTTGAGCAACGGACAGCCGAGCTCATTCCTCCTTCATCTGACCGAGTAGGCAAAATCGTATCCTTCGAGTCGAAATAGTCGCATCCTCGAAGATTCACGGCGCGCTTCGAGTCCGTGTGAGATTCGGGTTTGGCTCCGATTCTAACGATGCCCTAATCATGCTATATTCAAACAGTTTGTAGTTTTTACAGTTTATCGTGTTGTCGGCATAGTTTTCATTGTTTTACAATGATAAATATATGAGGTCCAGTGCATGGATGAGCCGTCAGAACGAGATTTCGGGTAAACTGAGGAATGATTTATTATTTGTAGAAAGGCTGGTCTCAAGATAGCTATGAGGAGTGTGATCGGTGAAACGCCATGACTCAATTTAATAAGAAGCCTC